GGGGGGGCCGCGCGACAATTGCAGGCGGGCGGGCGGGCGCGCGCGCGGGTTCCGGTTCCGGTTCTGTTTTCCCGGCCCCGGCGCGTCCAGCGCAAGGAGCGAGCGGGCGCGCAGCTCGTCCCCTCCCCCGACTTTGGGCCGCCTCACGCGGATCCCTCCGCCGCCGGCCGCCTCCTGCGTGGTCCCGCCGCCGCGCGGACGCCTCCGCCAGGGCCTCGGGGGGGCCGCGGCGAAGTAGTTCTGTGGGGCCACCGAGGTGGCCGCGGCCGCCGCCCCCGAGGCGCTCGGAGGTCGGACTGGAGCCCGCACCCGGTCGGCCTGGGCCGGGGCCGCCAAAGACCACTGCCCTGTGCAGAGGAGCTCGCGGCCCGCCCCCGGCCCTGGAAACTTTTATTCCTTGCGGGAACGTCCGCGGCTGCCTGTTCTCTGACCACACGCAGGGGACGGCTCGGTCTCTGGACGCGAGGCCAGGCCCAGGTGCGCGGACAGCGTCCCCAACGTGCAGCAGAGCCCGCGCGGGGACCGCGCACCTGGCACCTGCCGGCTCTGCCCGCCACGGGGTGCGCGCCGCGGCCGGGCGGGCTGCCCCAGGCCGGGAGGAAGGACCCGGGACTGCAGCGGCTGCGGCGCCCCAGTGGTGCCCGGAGGCTCCTCTGCCTAGGCGACATGAAATTACGTATTATTTGCCATATTGAGAAAGCATGGTGCTGTGCACAGCAACTCGCAAGCTTGTTGTGGAAAGAAAAGGAAGAAGAGGGTAACAGTGTACCAATCCTGAAACTACACGTCTGTCTGAAGAGTGCCCAGCTATTTTTGCATTTTTTCTTTTCTTTCTTTTTTTCTTTCTTTTTATTCTTTTTTAACGAAGTTGAGACGCTTAAATACTCTTCTAGTTTTAGGATTGAATAGCTGAATGTTGTGCCTGCAAACGTCTAAATGGCTGTGCTTTATCTAGCTATTTTCAGGCTTCTGAATTTAAAGCAGCGTCGGTGGCAAGGGACTGCAGCCATTTTGTGGAAATCCAATCTAATAAACAGTGGATGTGAAGAGAGAAAACAATTAGCTCTTAACAATGCTGTTCTAAAAGTCATTCCACAACAGTTCGTGAAAGGATCATTATCCCTGAATAGATGCATGAGCTCAGGCTGACGTTAGAACAGGGTAAAAAAAGAAAAAAGATAAACAAAGGCCAAAGATGACTATTGCTGGGCCTTTTTTTTTTTTTGAAGTTCAAGGCACAGCAAGCTAATTTTGTAATGTTTATTTTTGGAAAGAATAGAAGCCGATTAAGGTTCCAAGCCACTTTCCTAATGATCAAATCTGCACATGTTGCCACCTGCTGGAGTACTCTAACATGACAATCTTTATCCTGAAAACTCTCCCAGTTGTCCCTAAGTACAACTGGAAAGAGTTCCTTCGTTCACAAAGAGCGAAATGCGAGTCTTATCCCCAAACTTCAATAAGGCTCTGTTAAGTGTACTGAAAGTCTTATTTTTCCTTATTCTAATGATGCTAGACGGAAATATCACATGACTTGGACTCCATGACTCATCAAATCGTACATTTTACAAATGAGTTCCCATCTTCCCTTCTCGTAGGCCTTCAGTTCTTAAGCTTAGGGAGGGAATAAAACAAACTGGGAAAGTTTCCTAATTCACCTTCTCTTCCTTGCATACAAAACCTCTTGGCAAACTGCTTTCAAGATCTTTCCAAACTCAACAGACCCAAGGTTCTAGCTGTGAGCAAAGAAAAACTTCAGAAGATGGTAAGCAAAGGATTGAATAACCAGTGGTTACTCATTCCAGAACTAAAAGAAAAAATTAGTGATGAGAATCTCCATAGTCAGCCACAAAGCACTAATGATAAAAACATCCTCTGAAAGCTTCTCAGTGACTGCCGGCAGCTCCACTGTTCTAAAGCCTGTCTAGGGAAAGCCTTGGGAAGACTCGTTGGCCTAGGTAAAGCGTCAGAGTCTGGTACCTAAAGAGTAGACCCTGCTGACAGTCCACTGGACAGGCTCTCTGAGGAAGCTTTCCAGCATACTCTCATCCTTTATCCATTTTTTTTCAACATACTTACTAAGTACGTACTATATGTGCACAACTGTTTAGGGATTGGAAGCCCAGTTCTCAGGAAAGCCAGAAGTCCTGTCCCTGTAAGCTCATTGTCAAGGCCCCTGCCCACGCAGGGTGGAGAACCAAAAAGAATTAAGTTCTTTTTTTTTTCAGCAAACTATTTGATGTATGTTATTACCTACTGAAGTAAAAAAAAAGAACAATTAATGCTAAGCAACAGATCAGTGATATTTCTCCAGTAATTATGAATAGCGATCAGCATTCTTACAGGCCAATGGCTTGTTTAAGAAAATTCTTGGCTGGGTTGGGGAGATAGCTCAGTAGAATAAGCACTTGGCTGGCAAGTGCAAGGTCCTTAGTTCAATCCCTGGTACCAAAAAAAACCCCAAAAAACAAAACAAAAAAAAGTTATTGGCCAAACCAAAACGAAGATATAAAAGACAGACTCTAGATTTATGAAAAGTTGTTTTTATTTTTATAAAATTTAGTACAAATTATATTGAAATATAAATCCTTCAACAGTGTTAGCTATCATTACATAGTAATCCATAGGCAAATGAGTATTTTATTTTTTCCAGCTAGAGTACAGGCTAATTAGCCCTTCATTCTCCTGTGATGTAAAAAGTCAATATCTTACTGAGTCATCTTCATTTCACATTTTTCTGTCAGAGAAGTTTCTTTGTAGTTATTAGCTACACATCAAGAAAACCTGAAATATGGCTCAGTAGAATAAGCACTTCCCTGGCAAGCGCAAGGGCCTGAGTTCAATCCCTGGTTCCCACCAAAAAAAAAAAAAAGAAAAAGAAAAAGCTGAAATGAGGGATTACTTTCCTCTTATCAGATATCCAGATTTCTTATTATCTAAAAAAATTTTTTTTAAAAACCTACATACATTACCTTGAGTGCCTCAAATAGCAAAATCTGCAATCCCCTCACTTCTGAAGGGTAAAAGAGAAAAGAATTGGTACCAGATTAAGACTGTTCATTTGTCTGGTATGGAACGGGTTGCACTGTGCCAAAATTCAAGAGCCAGCTTTTTCTTTCTTATTTTTTTTCCTTAAGCTCATATGCCAAGCCACTCTATTCTACTAGGCTTTTGCTGAAATCAGCATTCCCCAGCATCCTACTTTGCCCACAGTTTTGCTGGAAAGAAGTTCCCCCGTGTTTTAGGGCCACTAATAGAAACAGAGGTGGAGATGCTTCGTGTGCTGGATTACTTCACTGCCCACCAAAACTGTTTAACTAAATGACTGGCATCTAAAAAAGACCTATTAACATGCTTTGAAAGTTGCTTTTCCTTTTGCAGTAATGACTTCATATGGCTCCAGTCACTGTCATGCTTTCTGAGGCCAGTGACATCCATTTGCAAGGTGACTCATTAGATCTGTATCAGCAGTGGCCACAAGTGGAATGGTCTTGATTTCTATAGCACCATTTGCTTATTCACCAACTGAGCTAACCGATCACTATCACTCTGAATAACATGGTAAAAATAAAAAAGAAAATGAATAAATCAGTAATACTTCATTTCTTTTTCACAAAAGCACTGCATTAAAGACATCCATTAACAGAACTTCACATATCTCTATGAAATAGAACACAGGGTATTTCATTCCCTCACAACAGGTTTAGAGGACAGCAAACAAGTGAACTGACCAAATGATTTGGCAAGTGAACAGCAAAACTAGTTTAAAGAATCCAGGAGCTCTCAACTCCTACCCCCTTGTTCTAGGCTTGGACTCTTGCTTCTAATGTGAGATTAGAGACTATCACACCGAGAAATATTTTTTCTTCCAAGACTGGCCTCATATTAGTTTGTCTTTAAAGACATGTACCTGTTTTAGAGAAAGGAGAAAAGGTAGTGAGAATATTAAAAAGGGATATATCTGAAATTTACAAAAAAAAAAAAAAGAATTTATAAAAATTAGCCTCATCACCCTGAGACCAGTACCTACACTAGAGTCTTTGGTTCTAGTTTGCAATATGTGCAGCCACGCTGTAACCTGAACTCTCATCTCATGCACCGTGGAATCCACATGGTAAATCCCTATGGAATTTAGTCATGGCCTCTCATACCTAGGAGATTAATGCACAAAAGCCCTGAGAACTGGAATAGTTTTCCTGGTATGGCAGAACCCGTACAACAAGACTTGGTAAATCTACTCACACTTCATTCGTCTTGCATCCAAAGCCCCCAGCTGTATAACTTTTGTGCAGAAAAGAGTTAATGTAGCAGGCCCGAACTACTACTATCCTTGGAAAGGACTGCTTGCAAGGTTGGCCCATGGCTGGCATCTGAGAACTAAGATTTCCGAGGGGTGGGACGGGCTCCAGGAATTAACTGATACAACTGGCAACTGCACTTAAACTGTCTGGGCAAATAATATGGCTTATGGTGAATACCTGCTTTCCTGCTGGGAATCTTGAATTCTGCGATGTGCCAGGCCGAGGCTGCCCACATGCCCTGCCCCCAACACCAACACTGGGCACCAAGTCCTTAACGAATTTCCCTTTCATACATCATCAGAAGTCAATACTAGAGAAATTAAGCACATCCAGTGGGAGCCAAATGGCACAGAACTCTTAGTTTGTGCTTGGCTTGACTGGGATGCTCCTCCTACAGCCTTCTTCCCTTTGCTGGTTCTTCTTTGTGTCCTTTCACTACCATAGATTAAAGCTGTAAGACTATGTGATGTGTTCTGTAAATGTTGTTAGTGAATCATGGAAATAAGGGTAGTCTCAGGGACCTATGACACAGCAGATATAAACATTCTTCTTTTTACTT